GCAGCTAATGTCATTGAGGAACTTTTTGAGCTCGACTAGATTCAGGGGCAGCACCGAAGGTCCGAAGCAAATAATAATCTCACAGGGGCTCGACTTCTGAGCCCTCCCCACTCAGACGAACCTACTGGCTAAGGATTAGGTTCGGTTGCTGGTGGTGGTCGCTCCGTATTCAGTCTTAGTGGCTGAGCTGCTGGAGCTTTAGCTTGCTTTATGGAGGGGCACATTGACTGAGCAATTTCATTCGTAGCTAACTAAATACTACCTAGTCACCATTCACAAGCACAAGGGCGTCTCCGAACGTTCAGGGGGCAAGGCAGTCGAGTATGGAATGACACCTGAAAATGATTATTAAGGTTATTCTTAATGAAGGCTGTAAATCAGGAGTATGAAAAGATGAGTGTTGTGATGAGCCACCGCTTGTAGATACTCAATCTCTTTTTGACGCACTCACATCATCAACGTTCATGCAGATTGATCCATCAGATGAAGAACATTGTTGATTATCTATGTCCGGATCTGAGTTTTACCTATGTACCGTGTAGGTAGTAGTCAGGGGTCATTGCCTTTTCTGGTTTAGCTTGCCAAGAAACCACACAATCTAGGTAGGGAAAAACAGCTGGAAAATATGAGATCACGTGGTTCTGGCTATCTTTCTCAATGATATGTCCTGGTAATCCAAACTCCCACTCTCATCAAGTGTTCTTATTCTGAATCAAGCAGTGATGGAAACTCATTAAGGGACTATGGATGTACTCACTGTTTCATACGCCTTTCGAATATTGATGCATTACCAATGACCATCAAAAACAACAACTCAACTGACATCGAAATCTCTTCCAAAGCGATGAGGAATAATCAAGGTACCACATCCTTTGGGCTGTGAAAGTCACGTATCCCAAGGATTGGCGCAATTCAAATTTAGCCGAAAACGAGTCCCAGATCCCCAGAGCGTCCCTGAAGTCAAGGCGATCGTAGCAATAAACATTCAAACAGCCAGCTACGCTCCGAGAATCATCTTCAGTCATGATCTTCGTAAGTAAAGTATGCTCCCCATTCGTGATTCACATGGCTTGTCTAATAGTGCTATGTTCTACCATGTAGAGCGTAAGTACAAGTGGATGTCTTGGGCTTATGCAATCACGATCTTGGCCGTCGGTGGCCTCCCCCGCGCCATAATAATGGTCCGTGAACGGTTCAACTCTTTGTCTCCACAGTTATCAAGCCTTAGATCCCACATTTATCTTCCATTACTGATCACTGTTGCTCTACCGATGCTGTCTTCCATATACGAAATGGGAGAACAATGCATGGGTTGTCCGGACACACTTTGTCGCGAACAAGCTTCTTGAATTTCGGTCCATTTGGTCCCCCACTGTACTTCCTCTGGCCAAAAAGCTCAGGCCCACCCGGCAGTGCATCATCTCCCCACTGACCATTGAAGTTCAACCAGTTAACAGGGTAGCTGGGGTCATAAGGCTGAAAGGTCCCGCTGTCGGCATCATAGCTATATGCATAGGCGCTCAGTATGGGATCCCACAACACTCCACGGTCAGTATGGTCAACGACAAATCCGGCGGGGAGATTGAGATGAGGAATCGTATGGTCATGATCGCTGGCACGGTTCATACTCCTTAGCATCCGCCCCCATCATCAAGGTCATGCGTCGGTCTACTCACCCCGCCATAACGTAAACAGCGTGCGTGCCTTTGGCCGAGTATGCATATGGCCGCTTGCCTTGCTTCTCAGCTGCGTCGTACGTGAAGGCTTGTCCTCCAGCATGCTGACTATACCAGATTGCTTGGGGTTTCCCATTCGAAAACCGGATCATATTATGCTCCCTAGATCGCATGAGCTGTGCACAAATGCTGATGACCTTTTGACTGGACATACCAGTCCCCGATGTGATCACCGAATTCCATACCCAGGACAGTGTTTCCTTGGTTATACCTTTCGAATCATGAGTCTGCCGCGATCCTCACCGAACATATCGGCCATGACTTACGCATAGAAGTAAAAATAAAAGGCATCCACCGTCCCATTTCTGTGATCACGGATAATAATCGTTGAGGAGAAGGCGCCGTCCGTCTTGCCCTGTTGATCTGGAGCGGTGCCATTGAACCACGCTGGCTGCGGAGAAGCATCAATACCTTCCTGAGATGTCAGATAAACGCTTGTGTTGCCCAGACTGTTCAAGCTGTCGAGGTTATCAAGAGTCAAGGGTGACTGGGCCCCTTGGATCGGTTTATAGTCGATCATTGGCGTAGTATGTACAAGCTGCTGTCCAATGTCGGAGGGCATGTACACATCTTGGCTATGCAGCCATACAAGAGGCGCTACGCCATTGTTCAGGGCTCGAAAACCATGTCTGACTGCTGCAGGCACACGTACCATATTCCAGCACGAAGCTCGGTATGCTTGTTGCCGTCAGATCTTTAATAACAGTATCTGCCGTCGCGGCTGCTGGCTGTAGCATATTCCACGCAAAAGCAAACGTCCATGGAGCCCGCATGTTGGTAAGAGAGAAATGATCGATGATCTAGGTCTGGATTGTGCCTAATACCCAGCCACCGGTTCAAAATTTGGCAAGTGTCAGTCATTGAAGGGGAATATCTCATTTGAAAAACTGGATAGTCATGAACGGCAGGCAATTTATAAGTTAGGATGGGTGCCGAGAAGTCAGAATGATCGTCAGTCCTCGGGAATTCGCCCTCCTGGCCATCTCTTAGAGCCAGGGTATCTATTATTTCACCCTGCATTTGAAGCTAGAGTCAATCTCTGCTGCAGCTGACAGGCCATGATAGCAATCAGGAACCATTCAATTAACCTCGTGTGAGGACTAGACGATCTGAGCTGAGCTAGGTACTGTTCATCCGTACAAGGCTTGAATCAATAATTGGTTGCGAGGGGTCATTCCAAGGCGAAAATAAGCATGGTGCGGATGATGCAGTCGAGAATTCCAATCAATACCAGATGGAGTGAGATCGTCCAGTCACGTTGGCCTCGGGTTACATTGTGAAGGATCCTGTGATATTGTTGGTCAACGACAGCTGATTGATTATACCTTAGTCCTTTACATAAAGTAGGTACTAAGATACTCGACTTAGTTACCATCGCCACCATTCAAGTCATCCAGACACCTTTACTAGATAAACTAGCCAGATGACCATCTATTCTCAGAAAGGCAAGGTTTGTATTACAAGGTTTCACTCGTCGGTTCGGCGCCTTCTACCCCAGGATTCTCTTCGATTCAATCCAGGCGATATTTCAACGGGTAGTTTTCTATGGCCCTTTGCTTTATGGTATCAACAACATAAATAGCCCTGCAGACAGTTCTACATCAGTTCGACGGACTATCGTGTCCTGGAGATCGGCTCTTCTGAATGATTAATTCACTAAATTGATACCATATTTACTGATCAGCATGAGGGTATTGAACTATAACTTTCCAGCACCCTGCACAGCTTCCAGCTCTTTCTTCTTCTCCGCCTCTTTCATCAGCTTGAACACCCGCAAATCTAACGGGATTCTCTCCCCAAGCCATGTAGCACGTTGCGTATGATTCCGTTCTTCCTCTGAATCGATCGTGTTTGGGTGGATCAAAGCACTCAGCGGCCCCCTATTGATAACCAGCCAAGGTACGAACGCACCGAACTGGGCAGGTGTGAAGAGGTTGACTTCGAACATGGCGACTGGATGAGGCCCTACTGGCCTGTCGAAGAAGGTGTAAATGCGAAGCTCAGGGACTGCATACTGTCAGTCATTTCCGTACTTTGACTTGGAGGTGACCGGATTTTCGCAACAAGATCAACGCCAGGGGAAAAGAGCCCTTACATTCGCGTCTGATTCTTTCATGTAAAGCTCTGGCGTATGCGACTTGATCTGGGTTATTCTAAGCAAGCAAGATCAGTGATGGCTAAACAGTCAACAGTATTTTAAAGGAATTCTAACCTGAAAATGATAGATATGGATATCAAACCCTCCACGGCGACCTTTAGCGAGAGGGTCGGGGAATTCGTCGTATGCTTTACTTAAGATTCCATGCTGGGGATTCTTGAGGGACTTTCCATCCTCGGTCTTTTCACTATCAAAATCTCGTTAGTTTCTCCGTCTCGTGTCTTACGCAATATTTGACCTGGACTCAATCCTTCCCAAAAGCTAGAGACTTACTCTGTCAGTGGTTCGAGCTTTTCGTAGCCCTCGAGTGGAGATGGGTATGAGAAAGCAAACTGGTCCGTCATTGCTTGTGAAGATCAGATATATAGATCGGAATGGGTAATTGTGTGTATAGTTCTATGTTTTCTTCATTTAAGAGTCTGCGTGAGTCTATCAAAGATCTGGTGTCGAAATAGACCGGCCGATCCGAGGTTGTCTATATATTTAATCAATCAATAGTCGCAGAGGTGAACGTTCCACACTTGATTATGCAATTACCAGAAATATGACGGGGACATATGCTGATTAACAATTCGATTGACTAATTCTTAGAAATTCGAAAGCCATGATTGAGAAATATGATGCAATATCCCTGGTACGCAGAAATCGGTCCCTCTGTTGTCTGTAATTCCGCACTCTGACAAAGCCGCGGAATCAACACTTTATCTCTTGGCAGATGGGTATGGATTATGAAGTGCACGACTGGACAAACAAATCTGGATATTATTACATTGATCTTTTACATGTTAGTAAGATAAATATCAGCGAGTCGGAAATGATCAGACTCAAGTATATGACATCAGGTTTGTCATTATGAGCTCGTATGCCCTTAATCTGATGATTGTAATCGTGATATATTCATATATCACTACCACACCTATAGTCCCAAGTAAAGGAGGCGGCTCACTCACTGCTTAAATTCATGTTTCATAATCATGCATGAAGGGCTAAGTTGTTCCTAACGCCTGGCTTGGATGTATGCTTTTCCCCCCAGGTCATACCCATATAGAAATACTCAAACCCCCATACTCCGGTTACTGAATAGAACCTGTTTCCTGTAAACAATGCTACCACAAAGCCTTGACATCGATATGTCCATCGTCGTTAACAAACTTTCCGCGATCCCATTCACGATCCTCGCCTTTCTTTGACCACTTCACATCTTCGAGTCTGCCTTCGTCGTCATCACCACCCGTGGCTGGTTTACTAGAATTGCTCTTCCATCGATCAACGACAGCATCGTTGAAGCCTGCTTCTCGTAGTCGTTCCTCTCCCTTTTGCTTCCATCGAGCACGGTCGCGGAGCGCCTCGAGGGCGAGCTCCCAATCATCTTCCTCGGTTGTAAGACCTGCAACAGGACGTCGAGAGCGCCCTTTGCGCTGATCTAGATCGTCGTCTTCCATGTGAACATCCAGCGATGGATCGTAGTCGGGAGCAAAGTGAGCGTCGATATTGCTCAACTTGGCTCTATAGGCGCCCCGACCCCGAGAGCGAATTGGCCCCGAACCGCTTTGGCCGCCATGCTTAGGAGGTAGTGGTCCCACCAAATCCTCGAGTGGATCAGACTCAAACCCAGACTCTCTTCTCGGAGTAGGCGATGCTCGTTCTTTCTCGCCTGCTGTGGTGTGTTTCCGTGTCGTGCGATCATCGCGTGAGCTGCGGCGAGTGTCGTGTCTTGTATCCTCTCTACCTTTCCGACTCATGTGTCTGTCTGGTGATGGACTGCGAGAGGGCGACAATGAGACCGTGCGTCGACGACGTCGTCTGTAGCGATCGCGAGAATTTGAGGCATGATCATCTCGTGGAGAGCGGCTACGTGAGGACGATCGGCGGCGATGTTCCTTCCTTGAAGATCGATGACGCTTTTCACCAGTGTCATCAGATCGATGGGTTCGTCGGTGTCTGCGGGACCGATCTCTGTCCGAGGACGCTGAACGACTCCTATGGCTTCTCCTGTGAGGGCGATGCCTTGGTTCCCGGCTTTCTCTTGTGTCTCTTAGGGACTCCAAGTTGTCCGATGGGTGTCGAGATAGATGACGGTCGCGTTCTTTGATATCATTTGCCGAGGAAGACGAAGCTTGGCCCCGTAGTTGTCGCATTCGTTCCCTGGCTTCTCTTTCTTCCTTCCGCTTCAATGCAGCGTTATGACTGTCGGTTTCCTTTATGATATTGCGTAGAAACCTCGTATTCGGTTTAGGAGCTGCACCTGTAGGTCTGCGAGGCGATATACATCAACACCATTCTGATCATAGTGGCACTCCACATCAGAGATCGTACCTTTTAGGCAGATAAGCACCCAATCCTTGAGCGGAATATTTCATTGAGCTGTCACGGGCCTCCTTGGCTAATACTTGTGCAACATAGTCATTGCTCAGTTCGTCATTCATTTCTCCAGTGTTTGAAGGCATGATCGCGGGCGAAGGAAAGCGGCGATTGCGCCCAAGTGGGCAACGGTAGGTGCTCCTTCAGAATTCGAGCTTTAGCCAGCAGACAGTCTTCGCGACATCAACCAGACGAGCAAGGATAAGACATGAACTGAGTGACTTGAGGAAATACAAATGGACTGTCTATTTGCTCATGGTAGGTGCCAATTAAAGTGAGGAAAGTGACTTCACCGCTCGCTGGGGAAGCCGCGCTAAATGGCAATCAAAGCGGTGTCCCTCACAATTGTCCGATAAGCTTTTGTTTACTTTCCCATTATCTACCAGCTAACGCGCAGTCAAATGTATCGGTTCTGAAGATACCCTAGTATTCTCAGATAAAAAAACTCTTGACTAATCAAACTCAGTACTCAAACCTAGGATCCCCGAAAATTGCTACAAAACATATCAAACTGAGGGAGACTGCTTGAAAAATGACCGACCAGAGCCCCGCTGAAACACTCGAACAGCTCCGACAATTGGAGCAAGAGAATGGCGACCTGAAGACTCGTCTTGCCATCATCCGCATAAGCGAACCTATTTCTTCATCAGATGCTGAAAATCGCAATCCATCGCCGTCCAAGCGTACCTCTGACGTTTCGGCCATCGATAATCCCACGCCTGCTTCCCTGGAAGCAGATTTGACACACTACAAGGTACGGACAAGCGAACTTCCCCTCTGCATATGCTATGATGTCCTCTGACTTGTATGAAAAGGAACTCTTTTCCAAATTGCGCTTTTCCTATGTTGAGCAAGTAACAAAAGAAAAGTTCCTACGAGCGATCGTGGGCGATCCTCCCCTGGTCGTCGGACACAATGAAAACGTAGAGTTGGAAGGGCAGCTGGCAGAGGTGAAAGCTGAGCTTAAGTCACGCAAGGAGGAAGTCAGGATCATGATTGAAGATATGGAGAAGATGGGTCGGGATCTGGCGAGTCGTGAGTTCCTTTTGTCCATCATGGCGCGAAAGCGGCCGCTAAGTAATATTTGCGGCAGGATACAAAAAAGTGCAACTACAGATGACACAACTTTCAACGCTCCCAGAATCGATCGAGAACCTTGAATCCACGATCGCCGGACTGCGTGCGAAACAGATCGCCACGATGGGCACGTCATCCTCACAAAACCTTCCACTGCCAGCGACGCTGTCTCTCTTGGCCGAGCGGGAGGCAGAACTTGCAGCATTAAATCGGCAACTTGCGGCAGTACAGAATGCTCTGCCGCGCAAGACAAGAGAAGCCGAAGCAATGGAAAGAGAATTGAGCGTACTAGAAAGGCGCAGGAGCGAAGCAACCACACAAGCACGGGAGGCACAGAGAATGAAACAGGAAGGCGAGAGCGACGGTCTCGAAGAGATGGGCAGGTGGTACAGGAGTGCAGAGAAAACACTGAAAAGTTTGGTGGGTGTTGAGGGATGAGACCGGGGAGCCGGATGTTTGATGACTGGGTTTGTATTATGGCGGCGTTGGGGGTTCATAATTTCGACGTATATACAGGCGAAAAACGGTGATATTCTAAATTTACGGCGCAATGGTATGACTTGGGTCTCGAAATGAAGCCGTTAGGCTGTTTAATTCATTGACGTGCATGATCATACAACATGATACGCTATGCTGCAGACACCATGGAACCCCTTGTGTTTTTGATTTCCAAAACGAGACCCGTCCGTACTCCTGACTTTTAGTTAAGACATTTACTCCTCGTCCTCCTCAGCCTCGTCACCATCACCGCCGGCAGCGGCAGCGGCCTTCTTGCGCTGGACACGGCCAGGGCGGCCACCGCCGTAGGGGGAGGTGAGAGCGAAGTCAATGTGCTTCTGGGAGTCAAGGCGAACCATGTAGGAAGGCACGTTGACAATCTGCTTGCCGACGCTGTTGGTTGAACTAAGTTAGTATCATTTCCTTAGCGCTATCGCACGGTGGGCCATACCGGATGTGACGCTGCTTGATCAGGACACGAGCGTGGTGAATGGACTTGGCAAGACCGAGCTTGTAGACACAGGTCTGCAGACGACGCTCGAGGAAGTCCTCGACACGGAGGGCCAGGACGTAATCGAGCTTCATGCGGGACTCATCGAGCACACCAATGCGGACCAGACGACGAATCAAAGCGTTACCTTCGAAAAGACGCTTGGGGTCCTTCTCGTCGAGGGTGAGAAGCTCACTGAACCCAAAAATATTAGTCACTGCTCTCAATTATCGCAGGGCTGATAAAGCGCATACCGAGCAGCACGACGAATCTTGGACAGGGTGAGCTGGACACGCCACACCTCACGCTTGTTGCGCAGGCCGTACTCGCCGACAATCTTCAGTTCCGAGTCACTAGCGACCAAAGGTTAGGCATGGAACACACGACTTAAACAGAAGCACGCTTCTGATCAGTGGCCGGAGAGTACTAACAGACGAGCCGACTCGAAAGCTGGACACCAATTAGCGCTTATTCGGACTTTGATGAATTTTCCATTTTTGGACATATTAGAAGTACTTACGACGACGAGGGACCTTGTAGGTCTTGGAGTAAACGCGACTGCAATGCAGAAACGGTAATTAGAATGATGCGACATGATTTCACACTCATAGCAAGGCATATACTCACGGGACGGGGGCCATGGCTGCTGATTGCGCGTTGTCGTGATGTTGTCGAACACACCAAACTTCACGAAGATCGCAAAGTTCAGAAGTTGAGGATGCTCTTTGGAGAGGAGACAAGCGAGGAAGAAGAGTGTAGTCTAACCGTGGTGAGGTTAGGGCTAGGGCTAGCCCTAGCGGCACACCAAGCACCCGAGGACGTTGACACCATCACCAAGTGCGGCAGAAGGAGGCATTTCTTCGTTGTCGACAATTTTTCAACACCAGCACCACCAACACCGCAAAAATGGGTCACTCCCACGGTTTGAGATCGGGCACTCGCGTACGTTCTTGCGATGGATTCATATCGACGCCTTTTTTCGCGGGGTGAAACGGAGCGCTGACGATGGTTGTAGTATGCCTTCAGCCGCGGCTTCAAAGAGAACGGCATGATCCGTCTGTCGACCTACCTGAAGACTTACCGGTACGACCAGCTTTCGAAACATAATACTGAAGAAAGGTGCGGGCAGGATCTGATTGTTGTTTTCATAGGGTTGGCGACATTGTGGATATCAAGGTCAACGGTGCCGTTCAGAAGGGGTCAGTACAATTTCCACCCGCTGCAATTACGAGGAGTCCGGAAGGCGCGGATTATGCGTGATTGTGTTGGGAAAATGTGAGGAGTGGTTTGCTGAAATTTTGGAACAGTATGCCTTACAAGGTCTACAACGGTAAGACCGGTGTCGTCTACAACGTGACCAAGTCTTCTGTCGGTGTCATCGTGTACAAGGTTGTCGGCAACCGCTACATGGAGAAGCGCATCAACGTTCGCATCGAGCACGTCAAGCACTCCCGCTCCCGTGAGGACTTCATCAAGCGTGTCAAGGAGAACGCCGCCAAGAAGCGCCAGGCTAAGGAGCAGGGCATCCACCTCCACCTGAAGAGACAGCCTGCCATGCCCCGTGAGGCCCACGTTGTCGAGGGTGTTGCCGCTGAGACCATCACTCCCATCCCTTACGACACCCACATCTAAACGAATGGATATGGTCGATATGGTCGATGCGGTTGTTTGGTGTTTCTGGGTTTTTCCGTCTATGGGTGGACTTTGCATTGAGACGAAGCGATAAAAAATTAGGGTTCTCAGATGTTCTGGCACATCTCAAGCCTGTGCATAGATTCCCCTCAATGAAAGAAAAAAAGACAAACCTTTCGATTCCCCCTTTTGAAGATGCAGTACGATTTGGATATTCTGGCTCGAACGGGATTCTGATAGGCACCTATTGGTCAATCTGCCAGACAACTTTAGCGCCCAATAACTCCTGCAATATTGCTATTTCTAGGAGCAATACTCAATCAATCGCTTGATCCATTTTTTTCGCAAGATCGTGTCATATCATCAGAGATTCTTCATTCCGTAGACGTAGGCAATTATCATGCCGACTGTAACGAGGCAGCATCTGTCTGAAGCGGCGCCTGTACCACCTCCACCGGGAGCGCTGAATCAGAGTGAATGTATATATGGAACCGGTAGAGCTCAGGTAGCTACATCGGAGCAGCCAAAGAACGACGCTATGAGACCTCATATTCTCTATGAATAAAATAATCCAATGGTCGTGCCTGCATTAGCCCGTAAAAGCGGCGATGAAAGAGATTGCCAATCGGCAGTGGCAGTGAGATCCGCCCATAGGTTCCGCCCAGGCAAAAATAAGCCATCGCCAAAAAATTGAACTCGAAAGCATCCTCGGCGCCAGCTACGCCTTTTTATTTGATTCGGTTTGAAATTTTTCAGCATCAGTTTGTACATTACTTCTGAGTATTGCCCCTTCATGACCATCACAGCTTAAATTGTGCTACTGCTCTCCGTCTCAGACCGATCTTCCCATTCTCCGTCCCGATAATACCCAGGTCTTGTTGATGCCTTTTTCAGCCACTTCTCACCCCAGCTCTGCGCAGGCGCATCTGGGAGCAGGAGAGTCTGCAGCAACCGTTGGTAAAGATCTCGTCTTACAATCAAGGGAAACTGGCGAAGTTGTACCACAACGGACGCAGCCGTTCACACAAGATGTCAACAAAAAGAGCCAAGCAAAGCCTTTCGCCCATTTTGTCGCTGGCGGGTAAGAAGAAATTATGTTTCAATGGTGATTGAGACGAATCTCGAGGCTAATGCGATTGATTCACAGGATTGGTGGAATGACCGCCGCGACCCTTACTTCTCCTCTTGATGTCCTGAAAACCCGGTTACAGTCCGACTTCTACCAAGCCCAGCTCAAGTCTCTCCGTGCCGCTCACCCATTGCCACCATCCAACTCACTCGCTTCACTTCCTCGGACAGCTATGATGCACTTTAGCGAGACCTTCCAGATCTTGCGCTCGATACATGTCCATGAGGGCTGGCGCGCACTGTTCAAGGGCCTGGGACCGAATCTCATTGGAGTTGTTCCGGCGCGTGCCATTAACTTCTACGTATATGGAAATGGAAAGCGGATACTCAGCGACTACTATCAGTACCACGATTCTAAGGAGACGCCCGTCGGAGTGCATCTGACGGCGGCCGCCGTAGCAGGAATTGCCACCGGAACAGCCACCAACCCGATCTGGCTGGTGAAGACACGCTTACAACTGGACAAGTCTAACGCCGAGAATGGCAAGGGCCGTCAGTATAAAAACAGCTGGGACTGTATCAAACAAACGGTGCGCCACGAGGGCATTCGAGGCTTGTACAAGGGACTTTCGGCATCATATCTCGGTGTGACCGAGTCAACTCTGCAATGGGTGATGTACGAACAAATGAAGATGTACTTAGCGCGCAGGGAAGCAGCGAAGCGTGCTGATCCCAATCACGTCTACAATTTCTGGGACGATGTGGAGTTGTGGGGTGGTCGAATCTGTTCTGCGGGGATGGCGAAGCTGATTGCTGCGGCCGCCACGTACCCCCACGAAGTTGTGCGAACGAGGCTGAGGCAAGCCCCCACTGTTTCTGTGGGAGATGGCAAGGTTCAGATGAAATACACGGGTCTTGTGCAGTGCTTTAAGACTGTGTGGAAGGAGGAGGGCATGCTCGGATTGTATGGCGGTCTGACACCGCATTTGCTGCGTGTGGTTCCGTCAGCCGCCATCATGTTCGGAATGTGAGTATCTCTTGTCACTGCTTACACAGATTATCAGCTTCTGACATTATCGCTTTAGGTACGAGGTGATTTTGCGCGTTTTCGGAACGACTTCATAAATCACCCCAGTTTGTCCTCTCGACTCTGAAAGCGCAGAAGATTCTCTTTGAGCGTAAATTTGTACTATATTCAACCGCTTTTTTTACTGGTGTCATTATCGACTAGAAGGGTCAACTGCATATATATGGCGCAATTCTTGGATGGTTGCTACTCGGACCGGCGTCTTCGCTCTTCTCTCACATTTGATCTAATACAAGGTTGGGAACCCTCGATGTATGTAACTATATGGTGGGGTTGGATCAACCATGAAAAAGTGTCTGCTAGAAAGAGAACCCAATTTGGTAAAAACGGACACTATCATGCTATAGTCGGTACCTCGTTGAATTTTATGTTAGCCGAATATCTAATGCAGGTACGGAGTACCGCTACCGCTAATCTTCACATCAAGCACATCAGCATACAACTGCATCAAGTCATCATATGATTCAGTAAATCTTGCTTCTCATTTCCTCAGATTGACTGGCGAGTGTCTCGGTTACTCATATTTCAGTTATTGCTATATCATCCTCCCCTGCGTTGGCTTGTTAGATAGGTAGTTTGTGAATGTCAGTGACACAAAAAGTATATCCGTCGTACATAGTGGCTTAACGCCTGGAGAATGTGCAACCTATTATGTAAACATAC